TATATATATATATATATATATATATATATGCTTGATAGGATTTAAACGACATGTGCTTACTTCGAATATTTTGAAATATATTGTTTGCCTTTAGTATTTTGTATGACGTTGCAACATACTTCCTTCATCATAGATTTACATTCATACACATCCGATACATAATTTAGAGCGTTAGAAAATCGCTGGCATATCGTTACAATAAATGCTTCCTCCAACCCTCTTTTGAAGTGTATTCTGCAAAATTTGCAAAATCTGACGAGTTCATTGTATAGTTTCCATCGATAGAGATAACGCATCAAAAACCTCATTCAATAATCATCAGATATGATACCGCTACAAAAATTTCCGCTTTAACTTGGCAACTGCGGAGTCAACAAGTCTGCTCGTGCAATATGCTGGTCAGATCAGCGGAGCCAAAATGAAGCAGAGGAATCCAGATTTGTACCGTCTCTATCAAGAAGAAGGGATTCAAATGTATAAATGTTTTTTTTTTGCGTCAAGTTACGGATTAGTGAGAATCTAAAGTATACGATAGGTATTTCTTAGTCCATTTCCGTCCATTCTTTTCGGTGGGCGGAATGAACATCAAAACATTTGCTCAATGATTCAAATTATCTCACCACAACCCTGACAGGTCAGCTGGCTGAGACAAGCAACTGACGTTCGGGGTAAGTATTCGATGTGAGCAGCTTTTCAGAAACATAGAGAAGTAGCACACAAAAAGCTTTAATTTTGCTTGTCTATCCTTACTAGCGCAAATTTTAGATGAAATAACAGCATAGACTACAATCTGAGATATCTCGTAAGCTCTTTTTTACATCTCAGACCAAGTACTCGCTGTAAGAAGTGCAACGTTAAGAATCAAATTCGAAGCTAAATCCTAAACCTAAGTAAAACACTCCGAACCGAACACTACATATAAGACAATAAATATCAACAATCCTTAAGCATTTGATACACCGCGCAGTTACAGTTCCTTGCTGAAGCGAGATAGAGCCGCAAAGAAATTTCTTATATTAAAGTTACCGATATCGTAGTCTGAACCATCATTGTTCGTGAAATATGCGGCATGTCATGAAAATTCTGTGATTTTTACGCTTTTAACGCACCTTGCTCTTTTAGTTTAGTCGCTAGCTTTACTATACCCGCCTGCTGATAATCGCGACTGCCCCATTGACAATATCTCAATATTACATTGGTCAGCCTAGCCCATCTGACCTTGAAATCCTACATTCGAGTCTCGGGATTATCACGATGACAAGAGAGGTGATTTTTCTGCAACCGAATAAATTTGATTGAGAGTGAAAATTGTTAAACCAGTACCGACAAATGCAAATGTTCGCATTTGAATGCAACTAGCTTGCGTATCAAAGTCATAATGGCAAAGGCTCATCAAATAACTATTCTGCCATATTTTTTGTGCGGAATGCATTGACTTTAGAGCAACTCGTAAGACAGCTTACATAGATAATCGCCGCGTTCTCTGTCTTTTGTGCTACACTCTCTATGGCTACTCCCTTCTCGATTACTACGCTGAGCGATCCGGGTCAACAAGAACACGTTGCGATGACTGCAGACATTGCTGATTACCTTTCTTGTTCTAAAGAAGTGATAGAAATAAGAACATTATACTTTACTGGTATAAGCAGCAACATACACGCTGAATTTTTATTTTCGCTATTCAATAACTTTTTTTTGATAACTCGAATTATCAATAAGAAAATTCGATAAAAATGTTTTTTGCGGTTGATTGCACTCCAAATTTTCTTTTGAATCTATCTATCATTGAATGTTTCGCTTTGTAAAAACCAAGTTTTTGTCGAAGAGTCACCCACCGCGACTTAATGACTACAACTTTTCGCAAACAACGGTGCACACCTCATTCTGAAGGATATCGCTGCTAGCACTGTAGTGCTGCAGTTGCCACAAGCGTTGTAGGAGAAGGATGGACCAGTTATATTAAGAAGAACTGCAATAGAAATCGATCAAGTCACGAATAGGTACCCGAAGAATCGACAAGTATTTCTGGTGAGAACGAGCTGTCGAGAGACGTGTTGCAGCTGGTGAGATATAATCTCGTATCGCGGAAAATGACGTCAATCAAGCCGACATGGTCATTTTAAGTTAGATGCAGCGTATTGAGCACATCTTTTCGTTCAATGACTTAAAGTGCAACGTTGCTCACGAAAAATTACCATGATTTTATGGATATAGTCATGTTATAATTCGTGTATTTAGTATGATGGCTTTCGATCAGATCTTCTTGGTAGAAAGCGAATGAGATGCAAATAACGAATCGGGTAAATACCAGATCGGATACGGAGGAGTGGCAGCAAAAAGAGGCTAATGAAGCAGTTTGTACATCGAGACAGCAAATAAAAATGCGTATAATATATTGGCCTAATAATAGAAGTGCAATGGCTACGAAAGGATCGCCGACAAGAAATTTTCAGCGAAATAATACAATGCCGATCGTGCCGCCATATGATCCAAAGACTGTCAGGTAGGCACATAAGAACGGTGAAACATTAGGCTTTCTCGAACAAACCGGACCTTAACTGTCTTTGCTTGAGTGATTCACATCGATGCAAAGGACCGGGTACAGCCTGCCACGAAGGGGTACAAACGCACTTTGAGCGTCGGGATATGAGCGATCTACCGATATGGAAGCTGACTGAATTGAAGATATATGTTTCACTATAGGCACATAAACTGGTAATTCTGCGCGATAATTGAGACATCCTTTAAAAGCTACCACATTTGGCGAAGTTCGGGCATCCAGCTCGAAGGCATTTCATCACAGTGTATCCTGGAGCAGAGACCTATACGAAGCTGCAGCTGCATGCTTATGAGAGTAGACTGTGGCTGTGCGTTGCCGTTCAACAAGACTTCTAACAACCTAATCACAACAGCAGGTGCGAATACGAATAAGCGGACTACAAACAGTTTTGACTTGTCTCGCAGACTTTTGGAGATCATATTCAGCTGAAGATAGCTTGTAATTGTTCAATTGGAAGGTAATACGCACTTACTGATCACATCCTATTCGCCCTCGTGCATACATTGCATTCGTTTTGTACTTGGTTACCGCCTATCTCGCACAAAGTATCTTTGCTTTACAAGTTCGCGTTAAGCAAGTGCAGAAACGGTGGATTTGCACGCTCCACGTAAGAGAGAACCCGAAGACCTCTTTAATGTGAGGTATCTATATTTGCTTTACTTAATTTCGTGAGTGACATATATCTATTTTTTTAAAAAGTTGGATTGAAAAAAATATACTACGCACTCCATAGGGCGAATATTGCAGTATACGAATCTCACTTTCAAAAAAATCTCATCTTTCATCATCATCAGGGCTAATCATTGTACCATATTTTGATCTTTTCACTTGGTTCGAAGTTCTTGGGACTACATTAGCGGCTGCGGAAATCGTACGTAAGAACCGCCAAAAGCGATCACAATTATCATTTTTTAAAGCCATACAATTTTTTCCATGATGTTTTTGTACAATAGTATTCTAGCATTTATTCCAAATAATTAGCCTTACAATTTGGCCGAAAAGTTTGGCGTGGACAGCGATAGCGGCTTAAGGGTCAGCAACTTACGCTCCTGATTGTCAAACATCCAGCGATGTTGGGCCTTAAGTAAAGTGCGCATGCTCTCCTGATCATTTTCATCAACCTTGAGTCCGGTCAAAATTTGCTTAGTGCGATATGAGCGATCAAGATTCACAACCGTAAAATAGCTGCACAAAACGGTTATTTATATCAGCTAAAATCAAGCGCGAAATGCAAAAGCATTGATACCCACCCAGTGTGAGACTTGCGGCGCTTTTTGGCTCCAATACGTTCGATAAAGACCTCGACTTCAACCTCTAAGTGGTGACGCCTGTGGTATAATGGAATATTACTAAGTATGATAAAGTAGTTGACTTTCTATAGTAACAATTCTTACCGAGAGCTGCTCACACGTGCATGCATCGTCACAATATCGTCCATTGTGATTGGTAACCTGAAAAAGATTCGGTTCATAGAGACCGTAACCATATTCTGATTCTTGGTAAAATTACGCGCGCAATAAAGAGCTACCTTGTCCATCCATGTCAACACCTCGCCACCAAAAATAGTATTGTTGCGATTCAAATGTTTTGGTAAAAACGAATTTTGGACCTCAATCAGCGTATCTGAAATGGGCACTTCTAATGATCGTCCGTAATTGTGCGTCTTGATCATATCGACAGACACATGAGGCAATTGATCTACTTGTTCCTGAACTGCACGCCACTGAGCAGCGAGTTCTTTTCGTTGTGCTGCAATTTTCTCGTGTTTCTTGACATATTCGAGATCAAGGGGATCCAATAGCTTTGGAAGCCCTGGACTCGGACGCAAATTTTCATCCAGCGCCACACATGTCATGATAGCGCTCAGCGTTTGAATAAACTTGCCAGCTTCGATATCGTGGCGATACCCTGTAATTTGGACAGCCATTGAAGAGCTACCTGTGTAGATGACCTCACCTTCTAGTCTTACTAAGTCGCCATGTGCAATGCGATTCGTAATGTCCACTCGATCGACCGAAATGGTGGCGATTCCCTTACAAGCTACACTAAAATTATAAGTCCACAATTGAATGTTTGAAGTCTTGTGCGCAAAGTAAATACGTACTTCTCTGCTACAGCAGCCCCAAAGATATCAATTCGCTCTAAGATCGGACCAGCACCAATTAATTTGCCACTGAGACTTTCATCACCCTACAACAAAAAGCATTAAGACATTTCACTTTACAAAATGTATCAAGTAGTATTTACGTACGATAATATCGGCATATGCTAGACGAGTGTCTCGCGGATTTACAAATGCTTGATCTCCGATCATCTCCATCCTCACTGCGCTTAGAAATCGATTGTGGCAACGGCGTAGCTTTGTTAAACAAAATAATTGGGACAACATGCGGTTCAACTCCTTTCTGGTGACGTTCACTGTGTCCAAAACCTTTTAGTGGTAATGTGCAATCGGGACATGATATTTTGAACATGGGATTGTCGAATGGTCAGTAGAAAACAGAAGGTTGCCCATCATTAAACTGAAGCAAAGAGATGCAGCATCCAATCCATGCGATTACTTGAGGATCTGTACCTCCTCCGGACAAGAATAAAATATAGATTTCATCACGTTAGGCACGTAGTTGACTGCACTTGAGGTATTTCAGAGTAAGATGGGCATACCTTCTGTATTGTTATAAATTGGCGCTTATCTGCAATACTTGATATATTGTCGCTATTTTAAACACGGTTGTTATATCGATATGTGTCGATATCGGCGGGTTGCTACTCAGCACCTTGAGTGAGTGTATGAATTTATACAAACTCCGCATGCTTCATCTAAGATAAGGTAAATTAAAAAGAAAATATAGTACCTGTTCATGAAACCAAAGCCAAGTCTATGCAAACGCATATGACTCTAACTCTTATCCCATTTAGGGTCAAAGACTGTGACACTTCACGCGAAGTATGGCTACGACAAACCTTAAAAACACAGTCGCACTATATTATCCCGCTATAGCCACGGTGTGAAATATACTCGGTTTTCAATTTTCAGATATCTTATTTAAGTAATTGCGTGGGGCTAACAGTCCACACATTCCATGGACGTCTTCTATACAGAGTCCCTCCACCTTCATCGTGACCGAGTGATAATCAGGGCTCTTCCTTATCCTAAGGTTCTTGTAGAAGCATGTCCTTGGTAACGAACGAAAGCAATCTAGCGCCGTGAGTCTACCACCTTGAAGCAGTACCAGCCAGAATTGCAACTGACTATCACAGTAGAATCTTTTACGAATTCATCCGACATTCACACAGGGAATATTAGACGCAGCGCCAGGTATTATAACATTGTGCTGGTGAGTTACCGCGAACAGCGTGTAAGAAGCACATTTGACTTCCAACGATGGCTAAGCGATCAGCTCACTGAGGATAAAGAAAAAACTCTTTAAAGAGGTTCAGATGTCAATGGTCTTGGCAATGCATCAGACAGAGCAACAGTATTTCACGCTAGCGCTAGAGACGACACTCAATTACACGGAATATCATTGTGAAAACAGATATCGCGGGCTTTAACACCACACAAGCTGACGTGATATCTAAATACAAATCTATACTCAGGCACCAAGAAAGAGAGATATGACCAACAGCAGAGAGCTCAAAATGCCGGTATAGCGATACAAAAAACGGCTATTTATAAACCATTTTCATCGCAATTCTTCGTTAGGTGCGGCTCGCACTATTTTTTACGGCCGCCGTATCTCTTTTGAAGAAGCAGCGGGCATTGTATTTAAAACCATCGCGCTTGAGTCTACATGCCTTATCACGGCTATGAAGCACGGGACCAAACTCGATAAATTTCACCTGATTTGGTGGGGAGGCAACTTGTTTCAAGATGAGGGTAAGCGATACACCAAGTTTTACTTTGCCGATTTGAAGGATACACAGTGTCTGCGCCCCTCTCAAAGCTGCAGTGGGGCTGTCGTAGTCTTTCACTCAGAGGAAGCTTGGTTAAAGTCGGTGACCTTCTTTTTACAAATAATCTGTACGAGTGTAGCGGATCGCAATTTGCTTATTCAAGAGTAAGCACAACCTTAACCCAAAGCAAATAAACTCTTCCGGTCAATATGTTGACTTGTTTTATTTGTTTTATTTGCGGCAAAGCCGCCTATACCTAAATCTATTTGTTTTCCTAATCAAATAGGAAAACCTAATTAAACCGCATAACTACTCGCAGCCCAGCCACGTATGCTTCTTGTGAAGGTGTAGCCACACCGTTATGTATTCACACCATTTCGTGCAACACACTAGTGTATGATTACACCATCTTGTGTGACCCACAACCTTCATACCAGGGTACGTGAAACCCCGTTACCAAAACGGTCCATCGTTTACGGTAACCTTCGACTGTGTCAAGACCATCGCCATTGTTCCGAAGTATGAGGATGTCAGATTCTGCTATGTAGCCGACGATAGTGTCAGTTTCACTTGGTATCTACTCTTCTGCTGTGCTGTACAAGTCATATGCCTTGGGGGCCGATCAAAGTGCGAGAATAGAGAATCTATGATTTCATCGGAGGCAAATTTGAGAGCTCAGCGGCAAATTTTCTCGGCTGTCGAGCTGGACCGCTGTGTAGCAGTTACTACATCCGTCGCAGCACACAACATATACATCATGCATGAAGGGCCGTTCTCCAACGCGGCAAAGACATCGGGGGAAATCTCGCGATACAGTAAGCCGCTCTTCGCCGAATTATTGTACTGTAATGTACCTCGTGGAGGTCGGGGTCAGTAGAACCAATCTGAGATGATATTTCTGACAAATAGAGACTTGCAATCTACAGTTGTTGGCTGTCATCATCTACACCGCCGACTTTACTGAGACATGAAATGTTCTGATAAAAATTGAGAGACTGTGCGATTTTGAATAACACGCGGTGTAAAAAACAGTAGACAGTTTATCAAGCTCGATGCAAGATTGGAGATATCAAATATGGGTTTGTTATCTGTGCTCTAGCGACGATTGTATCGGGGTTACGCGTTCCTTCGTGAGATAGGGCGGTCGCACAAGATTGTGCAGCCGTACATAGGTGTGTATTACACAGTTAGTGTAATACCACAGCGGTGTGGCTACACCATAACAAGAAACCACCACTTGGCAAGATTGCCAGTAGTAATGCACATTAGAGTATGTATTAGGTTTGGCAATATTAATTAAGAAATTGTTTTAGATATTGACGGCTCTGCCGCAACTAAACCAAATAAAATATTGTTTCGTTTTTGAGCGGAAGATTCGTTTGTCTTGGTAAGTCTTTAGCACTTAGAAGTAGCAGTTTGCGATCTGTTATACTAGTACTGATTCTTGGAAAGAACGTAAGGTCGGTGACTTTGGCGTAGCTCCTTCTAAGGAAAGAGCTACGGCAGCTCCGCTGCACTTGGTAGCACTCGGAGTCAATCTACGCCTAAGTCGTTACGTCGGATCTCCTGTGAGGGTGGAGGAATACCCCTATTTGCCCCAGGGCATGCAAGACGGGCTTAATAAGCTGATGTCCCTGCTGGGTCCTGAGGGCGTCGAGCACCTCGTTGCGCAAGGGTCCAAGGCCATAAGCGCGTACCTAGAGGAATTTTTCGTTATGAAAGAGCACTTACAGCAGAAGCTATCAGCATCGACGACAGATGTTCCTAGGCCGCTCATGGTAAGCGTTAGGACCTTCGAGAGTAAGGATGGAGAATCTCTGGGTGAGAGAGGCCGAGATGGCTATAGCATTCGCCATGATCCAAAACGAGAAACAGCGCCTGACGTTAGCTATCTCTAAGCTCGTGGCCCGAGAGCGAGAATGGCTACTTACGTGCGGTGCTTCGGTTGAAGTTGCGCTCCCCTCCTGGAAGGAGCTGAAGCGTTAGTCTTTGCTAGTGTTGTCGTCGCCTAATCAGACATATCGCGTGAGATCGCGTTTCCTTGCTTTCCGACAGGACAAGATGGAGTTGGTGGACTTTGTCTAACAGTTGAGAACTCTCAGGTGCCCGAATGGCAGCAGATCCGCCCCTCCGAGGCAGCAGCAGTGACTATCTTTATGGAGGGATTTCGCACTGGCGTGGCCAGAATGAAAGTTATCCGTGTTCATCCGTCTTCTTTTCAAAAGAAGCGGTGAATGTGGCATTGAATGCCGAATTCAGCTTCAAGTAGACACGACTTGGTTGGAATGCACACCCTTAGAGCTCGTCGAGCGGGCCTGAGCCAATATATTTCAGCTATGCTGCGATAGTGGATGGATAGCTTCGAGCTGCAGAGCAGCGTGTAAACACCCGTTGCTTGTGGAGACACCTGCCACCTTCTGACGAGCTGGCCCTTGCGCCAGACGCGTAAAGGTTCGTCAAACCGACATCCTTCTTCTAACCAAACTGGTTTGTTGCGGACAAATGAGACCACCCAGTAGGCACGGGCGCCTTACTTGGAAAATTGAGTTCTCAATGAGGTAGATAGCAGCAGGGTCCAGCCCGAAGAGCTGCGTGCTCTTGAACACGAAGTGTATGTGCATGCCGGACTTGCCGGTCGTAAAAGCGACCGTGAAGGGCTCTGATAAGCCATGGAAAATCGTTATCAATTTTGATGCGTTGGGCAATTATGCTTAACGCTTCACGATAGAGGGGAGTCAGCTGTACGTCGAGGCGCTGGGAGCGCGGGTGAGTGACACCGTCACTGTTAGCTTAGCGACGGGAGCTTGTGTCACTGTGCTGAGAGTCCATGTGGACCTCGATGTCAAGTTTCTATACTTTGATAGCGTGGAACGCTGTCTAGGCTTAGGATTGGATGCAAGGTATGACCTTATCCTTGGTAATGCATGGTTGGAATACCGTGAGCCATGGATAGATTAGATGTCAAAGACCTTGGGCGCTACGCGCACGTCTCCTAGTGACGCTCTGGTGAGTCATCTGCTAGGAAGTAGAATCGCTATTGGCACGGGCACTGGACCGGGACGGTCAATGTGCTGGATATCGGAGTATTCGAGCTGTCAAACACCGAAGGTGTATTGGACAAGAGTCTGGAGCATGGCTTGCGGGCTGAACGTGGAGTAGCACGTAACCTACTGAGCGCTGCTACAGTCGCTGCATGCCAAGAGTGGCATTGCTGGACGAGGTCTGGGGCAACCTCGGCTAGTCCCTTCTGATGCGCGTAGAGTGGCATGTTATCCACTGGACGATGGCTGCGGAAATAGCAGCTCTTCGTCAAATTTTGCTAATAACATCAAGGCTCCGATGGAGCAGGGAGTGAGGACACTTAACGACGCCGAGTGCGTTTTCCCACTGGTTTGGATGAGATGTCAAACTTATACTGGGTGGAGAAGGCGAACCCGTATGCTATCTGCAAGACACAGGGCGTCGATTATGACCAAATGTTTGGCTTCCGTTGACGATTGCGCGCTGCTATATACCCTTGCCGTATGACAGAAGAGAAAGACGGCGATGTCACCCTTGAAGCTATTCCCGCAATGGATGCTCTTCTTGAACTAGGTGAGTCGTTCTTCAAAGAGTTTGGCGGTGCCTTGAAGGCAGGCAATTTAGCCGGGGTGATCATAATAAAACCGAACGATGAGATTAACTCGTTGTCGCTTTTGGATGAAGCTATCCTAAAGGACACTAAGAAGGTGCTGAACGCACGAAGTGAATCCTCGATCCTGAAGCATCCTACGGATCCGTATTATTCAGGTAAAGGATTTTCAAGACGTCGTCTCCAAAGACCCGCCATCGGCCCTTTCACCGGACCGAGGTTTTAACGTCGATCGATTTGGTTTCAAGAACCAAATACTGCGTAACACTCCAATACCTCTGCCCAAGGAACAGGGTGAGGGCATTGACGCCTTCTTCCGCGCGAAACACGACGCAGGAATGGTGCATGAGACCAAGTCTCCCCATTTGACATCCATGTTTTGTGTCCGAAAACCGAGCGACAAGCGTCGTATCATTCAAGCTTACAATAAGCTAGAGCTGCCACTATTTCGGCACAGACGCCGATGTCAGGAAAAATTTCTCCAAAACAATATGGATGGCTGTACAAATAACAGTGCACTCGATTTGTTCGATGGGTCTAACCGATGACTCATGAGAGCGAGTTATATTCCGCTGACAACGGTGAGTACTCCGAGTGGAATGTTTTAAGTGTGGCTGGTGATGCTCAAGGGCTATCAAATACGCCAGCAACATTTAATCGTCTTGTGGCGCAGTTGTTCAGGCCCACTTTGACGACATCTTTTGGGGGCATGAAATGACAGATGAAGAATCTCAGTCGTCCAATTTAGAGCGGTGCTTGAGTGCATGCGCACAAATCAGCTGTATGCTAATACCGATAAGTGCATTTTTGGCGCGGAAGAAATTCCCTTTTTAGGGTGATTCGTTGGGAAGCGTGGCCTTCGAGCGGATCCCGCTTATGTCAAGGCCATTGTGGACTGGCCGGTTCCTTAGAACCAAAAAGACTAGCGCAAGTGGCTTGACCTCGCCAATTACTTGCATAAATATCGCGCAAAACATGCAGAGATGGCAAATGGCACGGCCAATGTCTAATCTCCTTAGAATCGACA